TGACCCACAAAGTAACAACTAGAACCAATTCTCTATGAGAAACCACCTCCAAAGTTTGAACTTGAAGTATCTTTAGTGTCCTAAAAGGTGACGACAGACAGAACAAAAAACACATTGTTATATAATATACGAATAGTTTTAAAAAATATCACAGTAGACATTATTATTTTATACTCTTTCCACTCGTTGCCTACAAAATTATTATTTTATTAAAGAAAACGCCGAGCCAACAAAATTTCAATTATTGCATAAGACGACGCCAACGACGACATCTGGACTATCGACTATTCCTAAAGTGTTGTAGCACGGACGTTTTTTTATTCTCCATCAAACTAACTGTTTCATAGACGGTTTATTTTTGTTTTTTTTGGTATAATTTATAAATATATAATTTTTTATATTTCAGTTTGTTTTTAAGTAAGAGTTACTTGTTTTCCTTCAACAATACATTTGCCTTATTTTTGGAGTTACCCCAGTGTACCCACTGAGATGTTCGAGGCAAAAACGACAAAAACACTTTTTGTAAAGGCAGCAAGACTGTTGCAAGTAGGTCAAAGAGATCTAACCCTCGAACATCTAGTGGGTACTCGTTATCGTGGTTATTGTTCGAGAGTAATGAGACCTTATAGAGTGTAAATCTTGCGGATTCTTGTAAAAAACAATTATTTTGTGCAGTACTCGTGGTCATCAAAAGGAGATTCAAATAAGTTTTTACTACAGATTTTAATATTCACTCATTTAGGTTTGGGAATCAAATGCCCGCCTATACTATACTTATCAAGCCTTTGAGTGGCGGAAACTACAATATCAGAGTAAAATCAAATATCCAATACATTTATCGCTTCGCTAAGGATTTAATAGGTATATTAAAAAACATAAAAATATTAATTGTAAGTTTCCAGAATTTAGTAGTTTATAATGGATATGATAGTTGCTTAATTGTATTTTATTATTAATTAAATTATTATACTATGTGTATTGTATATATTTTAACTATATTATCAGCACGCATTTTTAATTTTTCTGAAATTAAATTTGTAATCACTGATCACTAATGAGAGTAATAATACCAGGTCCACTTTAAACCAGAATATAATACATTTTGACATGGTTAATCTTTGTTGAGGGTTATATACAGCTTGTATAATTGTGATATAGGTTAAATTTTAAATGCAACGAATAAATATATTAAACAATAATGTTTTGCCGATTGTCACCTTACTTTTTATAAGATTAATTAATTTTCAATAAATTACAATACAATATTTTATTTATACTTTATAACATTGATTTTGTTATGTTCCTTAATATATTATTATAAAATAAACGGTTCATGGTTATACGTACTTAACCATCATAATATATTAGGTACCTAGGTATATGATATTATCTCAATAATTTACATATATTTGTGTTCTGAATAATTTATTTATCAAACATACCACAATGTCTTGTATTACCTATGTGTTGTTTTATCAATAACTTAAATATTTAAAATTGAATAAATCGTTCTATAAGTATTTGAAAAAACATCATTTTATGTACCACCATAAGCAGCAATTATATTATTATAAGCTGTATTATTACAAAGATTTATTTGGGCTGAGCAAATATTTAAATTTGTAAATACCTACTGTATAGTAATTACTTCCCATATTGAATTGCTCTTCTATCTTGATTTACGTAATATTATAGCCCATAAATGTAATTATATTTTGCTGGATACTGAAGAGCAAAACTCTCCTATAGGAAAGGAATATTTTTGACCTTGAATGCATAAATAATAAATAAATAATTGTATTTGATTTAAAATATGAAGTATTAGCACGATTGCATAACAGTAGAATAATATTTTTGGTATTATAATAAGTGTTATAATATTTAATTAATATTTGTAATTATATTTAAAATTGAATTGTGTTTTCCATAGTTGGAGGATACTCTACAATCATAAGGAAATGTCTTCTCCAATCTACACAATTATATAACTGTAAAAATGATTTCCTCGAGAAAATCAACAAATTCAACATCGTATAATATAATAACTATTACACCTTAAATTCAAACTGTATTGCATCCAAATCTGTTCAATAATAGAAGCAACAATTTTCCATGTTCGAAGTTTTATGGCGATTGCATTGGCTGTAACTTGACTATTTTGTCCATAGCTTATATTATATCAACAGCTTTACAAAGCTAAACTAATGAAGTGCAAAATAATGTCGAGACTCGCTAGACTAATAAAAACTATGATTGCTTGTGTATACTGTATACTAAAACAAAATTGCTTAAATGTAGAATTTAGATCTTAATGAAATTATGAGATCAGATTATAAATTATAATTATTAGTTCCCGATTTTTTCCTTTTGTGATTAATTTATTCAAATTCTTGAATTTTTTCGTACTACTGTCCAATGGCGATACAAACTTTTGTTTTTTCAAATTAGAACCTCCCCCCTCCCGCTTTTTACCGTAGAGAATTTAGTGGATAATTTGTTTAAGTCTATAACTGTTTTTAACCAGCTCTAAAGGTTTCTCAAAAACGATTTTAATTAATTTGTTATAGTTGATCTAAAAAAATATAATAATAGAATTGAAACTTTTTGTCATTACTTAAAATGTAATTTTTTTTAATGAAATATTCAAAGCGCATGATGCACTAATTTTAAGTTATTTAAGCCAAGGAATTTTATACTTATATACTTATATTACTTACTTATACACTATTCTATGGTTGGTAGAAGTTGACTCATACGATATAATCTAAATATTAATCTAAACAATTCTTAGAAGTATAATATGCTAATCATTCACCTATTTCATTCATTCAGAATCGTTATTTTGTATACACAACGATTTATCATATAACTAAAATTTAACACATATCCTGTTACTGTAACTTGCTCAATGCCAACCTACTCACTACTCAAAACTTACTATTTATACAACAATATATTATACTACAGAGAGTTCCCTGATTTAAAAATTTAAAGCAGTCAATTTTTGAGCGGTCAAGGATTTTCGAATTTAACCCTTCTATGTTATATTTTATTTTATTTATTTAAAGATATATGAAAACAAAACTTTGAGATCATCCATATTATAAATACAAAATGTGTTTTTCTTATCAACTTCTGTTAAATGGACCCATGGACATGTTTATGACATCAATAATTATTATATGATGGTTTCCCGATGTTGTGACGTTCTTATATTATTATGACTGAACATCGTATAACATGTCCGACGGTCAAATATAAACCTACATTTCATTAACTTCATACCTATTTTTGACCTTAAACTATATTATATACCCCACACCATAATATTAATATAATAACAGTCCACTTAGAAGTATTTATTATTGCATTCAATAGGACTGCCATTAAATTGATCACCACGAATTAAATATATATATTTGCTTTTTTAATTATTAGAAGTTAAAATAATATTATAAAAAAAAAATACCGACAGGATACTGAGAACAGGTGTTTTGCTCACCTTGGAACAAGATAGTGCAGTGCAGTATGTATTATTATACGATCAATTTGAAAGCAATGACAAAGCACCGCATTGAAAAGACAATACTGAACGAAGCTCGGTTAATTTAAGTGGCTGTGTAGTTTTTGAAATTTTAAGTACTCATAAAAAAAAATATGGGTACAGAGTCTTAAAGTTTAATAAATATATATATTATATAGCTTGAGTATAATTTTTAGTAACCTTGGATAAAAACTGCAAGTCTTAGTATTATAGGTATATGAAATTATATGTTTATCATAACAAATTTACAAATAATTAATAAAAAGCTAATCAAAAAATACCACTACTTAATACATTATTTTTTTAAATTATTAATCAAAAGTTTTGCACAACAATATTTTATTAAATATGTTATAAATAATAACATTTTCAAAGTTGTGTTCCATATAATCACTAGAAGATTGAATTAAATACTATTAATTCATTATTTTTCTATTTAATTTCGTAATCTCTACACATTTCACCACTCTCTGAATTTTTTCGAATATATGTAACAAATTCTCTTAGGTTTTTAAAATTATCAAACTTGTATTTTAAATACATTAACTTTATTTAGATACTATAGTAATAACTGAATTGATTCCTGTAATAAAATAACACTAAATGAAGAAATAAGTCTTATCAATAGGTATTTAATATTGAAATTAAATCCTCATGCAATCATTTAAACTTAAAATAGGTAGGTAGTTAAAACATAGGATGATTGAAAAAATACAGATACTTATACCTATTTAGATAAATATTGATATTACCTAATTCGAAAAACTAAAAAAAACAACAAATAATTCCAAAAGGACATTTCTTTTTCAATTACTTGGAATAAATATTGAACATAATAATATGTGTGGTATTAAGTTGTGAAATAGGGGGGGGAGTTGAAGCTTTCAAAGCCCAAGCCCGTGAAACGGATAATAAAATCAAAACCAAACCTATTGAAAGTTCAATATGGATGTCTATTAAACAGCGGACAACTCTGTCGAACGGACAACTCTGTCGAACGGACAATATTTTAATGTCCAGGCAAAATCATGCTTATTGTGTTCCAATGTGCCTGCAGTCAATAACGGACACTTTTGATAGTCCCGCGACTGTTCGTTATAATATACAGGTTTCAGTGTATTTGGATAACTATATATACTTATAGGTTTTTACATTTTTTTACAGCAAATAAATTAAGTTAAACGTATGAATAAAATGTCGAACGTTTAATATTAATAATGGGCACCTGTCGAATTTCGATGGGACATGCGGTCGCAACTGCACACCGTTTAATCACGTACTGAACACCCGACGTTTCGTATCGCATAAATAATATTGTGCTCTTAATCTTAGTCGTGACGACCAAAAAAAAATTGTCATCTGATGCGTTGCCGTGGTAACGCGCGGCGCCCGGTAACCGGCGGAGCGGTATACCGCCGTCTATTACATATATACCTATACCTACTCAGCGGTTCAGAGTGTTTAGTCGGTGGCGCGTAGTCTGAATCGAACGGCTCGCCGAAACGCACGTTCGCCGTTGCAGTGATAAGTATTTCGCGCAGTCTCGGCTTTCGTTCCCGACGAATATTTTTGCTGTCGTTGAATTTTTTTTTTTCCAACCGATCAGTTTCATTCCCGTCGACACAAGTCCTTCTGACTGGGTATTTTTCAACGTACCTATATGCATGTAGTAGTGTGTGACTGAAACGATTCGAACACCGTAATATTAATAGTTATCGCATCAAATATATTGAAATACGTTCAAAAATATAGTAACGATTAAACTATATAATACCAAATTATATTATACGAATACCAACACACCGTACGATCGTTTTGGACAGATGCATCAATAGCCGCCGAATCGTTTTTGAATAATTTCACCAAGGTACCTACATCGATTTTCTATGAAGTTTATTGAACTCCATAACATTAAGGCTAATTTATTGAAGAATAATAATATATAGAAGTCAATTCTTTCGAAAACAATATAATGGGGCTAATGACCTAACCTATATTTATATATATGCACAAGACAGTTCATTAAAGTATTTACATTAATTTTTCAATTTGACATTACTTTTTACGATACCTGTATCTTTTCTTCTCTTTTCTTCTCTTTTTAACCCAAAACATTTTTGTAGTGATGGCATATTCTTTCCCCTAGTAGATTAGTATTATTATTTAATTTACTATACACATTTTTACCTACACAGTAATAGGTACATATTATTATTATAATTGTATTAATATAATGTATGTAAATACTTGTTCTAAATTAATCGTTTGACCATAATGAGTATCTAACGACTCATTGTTAAGGATAAATGACAATTATGAATAATTTTAATACAATTATGTAACATTGTGTTATGTACGAAATTATCGAAATGTTAAGACTATAGACTTTATATATTATACCCATATCAATAAACCATCATATTGTATGGTTTCACATGACCTAAATGTGTACGATATTGTATGCAAAAAATTTGGATATTACTGCTATTGAGCGTAGTTTACATGTTTTGGGAAGATGTTTTGTTTTTTCCCACCCACTAATTTGAAACTAAATTTTTCTAAATTTTTTTTAAATAATATATTTACAAACATTTTTAGTTTAGTTTAGTTTTTTGTTTAGGTTCAATTATTAAATAGATCAAACAATAAAAAAAAGTTATGTGTCTAAACGCACAGTGAAATTTTATTTAAATTCAGATTGCAATTTTTTAAAGTTTAAAAAGTAAATTATAAGATTTTGATGTGCAACTGGAGCCTATAAATTCGTCCAGTATCACCAATCGTACTTCGTATTATAGGTTTTCAAAAAAGATGTTTTCGAGCTGAGATCGATAATACTAATCACAACTTAACCCGTATGCCCTTTAAGTGTATTTCCTAAACGCTAAATAAAAAAATAAATTCCAATTATAGTTATAGTTGTAAGTTAGTATAAATAAAATAATATTTCTAATTTCATCTCATAAAATTCATTATTAATAAAACGAATCATCGCAATTTAAAATTAGTAATTAGATACTGGAAAAATGTATTCCAAGCATTTTAAAACCAAAAATATTTTTTAAATTTATTGTGTACCTATACAAATCTACTGGACTTCTTGAAAATATTTATTTAATATTACATTTTGAAAATAGGTGTTTTAATTCTAAAAACGATTCCCAATAATTTATGACCGATCAGTGCACTGAACATGTTTTGCATGCTGCACGTGTGAGAAGATAAAGATAACAAACCTCGGTGTGGCGTCCTAATATACAAAATAAAGACGAAAATATGACTAGGTCTTTCTTCATATTATATCCAGTAAACTCGTTTTAAATATATTATGCAATATGTGCTTTTAGTATAGACAGTAGTCTATAATATAGTCTATGTTTGTTATTATCGTGAAAGGATTACGTATTTACGTTTTATGCTACACAACGCGTTACTACATTTTATTTATTTTGTAAGAATATGCAGTGTAACTATTAAAATAATTTATAATGCATGGAATAAGGAACGTATTTTTAAACAAAAAAGTTGATAAGTGTTATTAATTTGTTAAGACCTTCGTACAAAATAATAATGTCAAAATACCCATGAATGATAGTACATTTCTGGAAATTAAACTCTATAGTCAATACAGCATTATTTATTTTATTTTTTATATTGAGTAAATATCTGTGCATAGCGTTCACCAAGGTGGATTGATATCAATCCACCTTGCTGTACACAATATAATATATTACACATATATTAGGTACCTTTAATATACTGTAATATATTTATATGTATAAATAACATTAATAATAGCATAATAATTTAAAATATCAAAACTATGACAGTTTTCAATTAAAATAAATATTTTAAATCGATTAGTAAAGTATAGGTTTATTATGTTGTCGTATTCGTTCTTTATATTGTGAACTTTGTGACTCGTGTACCTACTATTTACTAAATTACGTTTATGGTACTTATTTAACTTTTAATTATGTATTGTTATTAAAAATCATGAACTTTGAAAACAGTATAATATATAATATAATTATTATGTATATTATTATTACCTATTAGTATACGTTATTGCATAAATGCTGATTATAATTTTAATGTACCAAATCTATTAAGATATTTCAAACACATCAACAAATTTTTCGAATAGTGGTATATTATTCGCATTTCTTTTAATGGATTTGGTTTGATTTTTTTTATATTTAAAAATAGTTAAGGTATGTAAAAGATGATTTGTTAAAAATAGAAACTAATTTTTACGAATCTTATGTAAAGTTTTTTGAAATATTTCTTTTACGCCGTTTAAAATCACAAAACGATATTTTAAGGAAAAATGTAATTTTACTATTTTTTATCGTTATTAATAATAATTCTTGAGTATTATAATTTTTGGAACATACCATACGTTTTTAATCTCATAGTTCTAAACAGATTATATTTCAGAAAATTTAGATAAATAAAAGTCAAATATCAAACTAGTGGGTAATTTATATAATAATTTAAATTATGGGCTGCCCACTGACCAACATCTTTCGGAGTACTTTGCTCATCGAAACTAAAAATACTTATAACATATAAATTTAATAAATAGTAAATTTAAAATATTCACCCTGCTAACACCTACTAAATATATTAAAATAATATGCTGTACCCAAGTGGCATCGTTATGGTATTATGTGGTTTTATAACAGTAATTTTTACGGCACATTAAAATGATTGTTATTGTTTTTAAAATGCACATGGTAATAAGAAAATTTACGATTTACCTATATGTACTTACATTTTTAACATTGTACTTACTGTTGTACATTTTTTTTATGGCATTTCGTAAGAAAACCAACAAATTATGGTATATTATAAACAAACATACTTTTTGCATTTTCCCACGTTAATATTCAGCGTTCACATTATATAAATATATTTTTTTTATTTTGATTTCAAAGTTTCATATCATGATTTATAAAATTTTGTTTTAATTAAGTTATCATTAATTCTTAAAATAATATGTATACACTAATACCTACATAATATTATTAAAGTTTCGAAATTAACAAATTTACTGATAAAAAATGAAGTATTAAGTCTTATTAAAGAAATTTGATCTATGAAAATACTTTAGTTGTCAGACTTTTGAATATTGGTGAATGTTTTGAATAGGCAGAACTTAATAATTAATTGGTTCATAAAGCAAAGCAATAAGTGATACATCTATATTATACAACAATAAAACCAAGTACATAGATGATTTAAAAATTGTTTAAGTGCCTTTAATGCCTTATATTGTCTGTGTTCTATAATAACTTACTGTAAACAAATAATAATATCATACTATTTTATAATTAAGTACATTTTAACTTATGATAATAATAAATAATGAAATAAAGAACAATAATAAGGTTACTGTGCATATTTTATTTAATCTGCAAAAAACGTGTTATAATATTTGAAATTTTGAAACGTATTTATAAATGAGTAGTTTTTGACGGATCATTTCGGATGTTTGTTTCCTCGAATGTTTTTCAAATATAGCAATATTAAGATGAAGTCGAGTGTGTTATGAATTATGATATTATAACTAATAAAGGAATTGAAAAGAAAAAATAAATTGAATCACAAAAGAAAATCAACTACCTACTTGTGACCTATTCCCATTAATATTATTATAATATTTATAACTATAATATGACCATTAGATAATAATAATCAAAGTAATTTATCCACGCGTTCCCTAAAAAAAAATAAACATATTTATCGAACTATCTGATATTACCTAAAGGTATCGAACCTAACCTTGTGACAATAAGCGTACCTATCGCTGCAGATGCACAAACATATTATATTATAGTGATAAAAAGGACACCCCATACACATTTCGTCAGTCGTATATTTTCGGTCCTGCTAACATCCGTGTCAAGGATCACACAATACGTTCGATGATATCACATTGAAGGTATAGGTTATTTTTGTCTATTGTCTTGGAAATAATGTATAATTTGTGGGAGCATAATACGTTTACGTTCGGGAAACAATAATGCTGCAATAGGATGCACATATTAAATATTAATATTTTATATTACATACTCGTCATGTCTAATTTGGTAAACCTACAACCATATAGACTTGCACACAGGTGTGGCTTTTAGGGCATTGTTGCCACAATGGATTTTTTCCTTGAGGTAGAAATCATAAAATTGGTCCAAAAAAGATTATCTCCTTATGTCTTTTCTATCTGACTGCAGCTGGAATTTAGAAGTATAATCACATTAAAATACATTTAAATTTTTTGTTTGAGTATATTTTATTTATGCATTTTGAGTAGATATACATTTTTAGGGGTAGTGATCAAAAAAATAGAAGTCACATCTAATACATAAGTCTAAGCACGTCTATGCCTATAACATATATAATGTTGCCTATATATATAGTAGCTAATTACTATTATACATTTATACCTTGTACCTACAAAACTCGGTTGCCTCTTCTGTTTTCCCAACTTCTCATACCAACGGATGATTATTGTTTTATCTTTTTCTTTCATCGCCCAACTCGTAAATATCCCGATCCCGATGAATTTGATTTATGTACGGCATTGGTCGTGACTCGTGGTTACAAAAAATTGTGTTTATTTTTGATTACACGGCGGTCGCCTTTTCTGTTTTCTCATCCTCCCCTTCGACTGAATGATGATTGTTGTTTTATATTTTTCTTCCGTAAACATTTTGATCTAGATGAGTTCGAACTTTGGGTACAATAACAAGTTTTATGAATTTTTATTTAAGGCCTCTTCTTTCAACGGGATGCGATTATCGGATTTTTTTTTTCTTCCGCTGATTCGTAAACATTCTGATAGCGCGATTAATTCGATCGATT